TCTAATCCTATGTGAAAAGTTTATACCATGACAGGCACACACAAAGCAACGGACAAAAAAATATCAGGAGGATAATTTATGCTTACTGTATATAAGTATGCCAAAAGCAACCTAAATTTCTGTCTTCTTCGGTCCTTACGATCACAACATGTAATGGCTGCTTCTCAGATATACTGAGGTTCACAAAGGGCTCATCCATGTTCCCTGAAGCAAGGATTGAAAGTGAACCACTCCGGCGTATGGTTGCTAAATCTTGCTGAAAATTCTGACCCTTCCGTCCATATATTCTATCTAGCCTTGACAAGATGTCCCAATATTATCAACTTTCATACATGATATAATAAGAAAAAAAAAATTCAACATAATTTTAGTGAATAAAATTAAAAGAAACATTCCTTTGAAAGTAATTAGCATACGCGAAAAAGGTACCTGGAGTTTCACATATAGTACCTTCTGATTGTTTGATAGCATTGTCTTCTTCATTTATGCCACCCTCAGACTGTGATTGGTTACCCATCCATTGTTCCATTGATGACGAATCTCAGTCATTGTGTCACATTATTGAAGGGATGAAGCTTCCAGTGATACTGCACCTTGGTTGACCATGTACCAAAGAATCTGAAACATTGTAAAGATGGGGATCTCCTCGAGTGATGCTCTGCAACTTGGATTGCATGCTCCACTAGTTTCTCCAATGGCCTTTCAAGCGACTTCACGTTACAGGAAGCACAGACAAAATAATTCCCAACCGGCCCTAGGGGAAAAATAAATTTGATTGTGAAGCTTAAGTTTTTCATAAGTCCAAATCATACACTCTTATTCTTCAGATTTTGGCTTTGCATCTAAAGCTCTTCTGAAAAATAAACTATTTAATGTTGCTCATGCGAAAGAAATTAACGCCTTTAACTTTGCTTTTGAATTTCCATTGCTACATATGCAAAAACACATTTCCACTACTTCCAGATACAGAATTCCTAAATTTATTTGCATTTGTTTCCAATTTAAAATAACCCAAAACATGTTTATAAGTTCAATGCTCTACTTTTGACACCTCATAATCCAGATACCAAATAGGGATCAATGTTAACTAAATCAAGAAACTACTGTGCAAGATTTGCAGACAGAAATGAATTACTAATTCATCATACATCTTCAAGAGACGAGAATGCAAATATTGTGCTTTCTATCTCCAACCTGTAAGTACCACATGTTCATCTGCGACCCCAAAAGTGTAACTTTTTTTATTTTTACAGTGCATAGAGTCCTTTTGACAATTACTTCACAGTTTCAACAACAATTATTATAATCAAATGAAACCTAGTATTTTTAGTCACAATTAAAGTTGCCCTCCTATTATAGTCAAGATAACAATAAACAAAGATCATCCTCAAGAAAAAAATTACCAAAATTACACGAAAAGACAAACATTGAACAACCAATCTGTTTTCTGTCAAGAATCGAACCAAGCATGTGCACAATAACAGTATCAATAACATAAATCACATTCAAAACAAAACCACGAAATGAAAATCCCAAAATCATGTACACACACATACAGAAATAGGACTCCTGCAGTCAAAAATATGAAGAACTCCAGCAAATAGAGAAAGATTTTACCGATTAAAATGATGAATCCGACCAATAGAATATGATTTTCAGTGTAACAAGCGGTCTCAACGTTTAAAAAAGTTGTGAAAAGTCTTTTCGCAATATTTTTTAAACGTTGCAAAAAGTGATATTTCACAACGTTTTTTAAACATTGTAAAAAGTGTGACTTTTCGCAACGTTATTGAATGTTGCGAAATCGCAACATTCAATAATGTTGCGAAAAGTCACTTTTTGCAACATTTATTTAAAAAATGTTGTCATAGACCCCTTTAACAACATTCACTTATCCAAACGTTGCAATAGACCCATTTTAACAACATTTAATGAATGAATATTGCTTTTTAAATGTTGCAAAAACCCATTT